ATTAAGTCAAAACCTCAAGAACATCAAACAACTCCAACACTAATAAATAAAATAAGAACCTAAAATTCGAGAGGAAGGCGATCTCTCTCAAATCCTATAATATGAGAAGTAGGAAGTCTCTCTCAAACCCTAACCCAAAGATTCACAACTACAATCTCATGTATACTCCTAACCCTAAGCATATGAGCCCTATGTATACTAAACAATAACAAATAAATAAAAAACTAAATTGCCCTTAGGCTAATACAAGACAAAATTGCCCTTAGGTTAGGCACCGACGTAACAATACTCTCCATCACAAAAAGACACATTGTCCTAAAGGTGGAAAATTTTATTATTGGATGAAGTCGTATGGTTCTCACGGTTCATCATCATCTAAAAATCCTTTCCATTTAATCAAAAATTTGTAGAGACCCTCAAGAGTTCGAAATGTTGTCTTGTGCACATACCCCGGCAGCATCTGAATCAGATAGTGTTCTGACATTCTAGTCAATCTTAGACAATATCATAGTCCAAAATAGCTCATCCCGTAGCTTATCGATACCTAGAATCTCTGTCAACTATATATCATGTGTTTCTTCCATCTTTATCAACTCTGATCCTGCTTGCTTTTGTTTGTTCAAGTCGTTTGATTTTCACCTCATTTCTTCCAAGTGTTGTCACTCGAGTCAACTCCTAATTTCTTTGCTTGATACCACAACTCCCAATCCACCTAAGGAGGTGATGTTGCACTGATGTCGTGTGAATACTTACGGTTGTTGTTACTGACGTCCAGAGTTAGTTTTGTGTGAAACTCCATGAATTTCTTCATCATTTCTTCCAGAGTTGTGAATCTCCTCTCAAGCCGCCCCTCTATGGATGAGAAATATCTGTCTATTTTGGATTTGATGTTTGAACTCTTCTGTTAATTTTTCCTCCAAGTCATCGACTTTTTTGTTCGTCATTACACCTATCCAGTTCGAAACTCCCTAATGTTGGAATCATGAGTTTCATAACTTTTGTGTGTGGGTTCAGCGTGCTTGGAACTCTGGATGTTGTGATCCCTGAATTCTTATGCGCATCTTGACGCAAAACTATTGAAAACTGAGTTGAACTCCGAAAGTCGCGATCTGAATTCCTATACACGGGTTCGGCGGGGGAATCGAAATTTAGGAGACTAATGGAAGTTTTGAGACTCTCGATGTCGTCATCCAAACGTTTGCGTCTCAGCTAGTTCTTTGTGTTATTGTATCGATGCATGTCATGATGTTGTCGTTGCTTCCCGCTTACATGTCGCGATCCCAACTTTACCACTAGCTCGATCACTACTGTATCGTGAGGCAGTCCTCCATAAGCGTCGTTAACTGCTTCCTTGACCGCAAATGTGCGACTAGGGCAGGCCGCCATAAATCGAATCGAGAGGTCAGTCATGAAGGACACGAAGGAGACGCTCATATGCCGTTGCAATTCTATATTTGGTTGTACAGCGATTGGACACGCAATGATCCGTGATCCATTCTTGTTCTCCCACGTACGTGAGCTTCCCCGCTTGGATTCCGCTATTTCGCGAGGCTTGCCCACTAAATGAAGATGGCGCCTATAAGTTATGTTCACATCATTGGTCCAAAAATTAAATGCTCTAATACCATTTGATAGGATCCTTGGTATAAATTAAAACCAAATGTTTTATTCCAAGAACATCAAACAACTCAAAACGAATACAAAAAATAAGCATCTACAAATTTAGAGATAGGCGATCTCTCCCAAATCTGGAGAGTTAGGAAGTCTCTCCCAAACCCTAACCCTAAGACTCCAGACACAATCTCCAAGATAACCCCAACCCTAAACATATTAACCCTACTTATACACAACAACAATAATAATAAAAGACTAAATTGCCCTTAGGCTAGACACCAACATAACAGACTTGTGCAACAAGCTCCCGTCACCTTCCCTCACTTCTTTATCCTAAAAGGTTTTGGCCTTTGGGATTTTGAGGGTAATGCTTTAGGGGGAGAAAGAGAAGAGTTTCAGTTCTTTCACATGTTAGGTTTCTATATTAAGTTAAAAGAGAACACTGCAATAGGTTATGCAAAATTTTGTTAGAAAATTTAATTAGTATTAATAGTTAATATTAATTATTTTAAGTTATATATGCTTTGCAATTTATTTTAATTAAATGGATGTTATCATATTGAATTACCGATTAATTTTTAAATTATTAATTAATTACTAATTAGAATAATTAATTATTACTAAGAATAGTTAATTATTAATCATAATATTAAATTTTGCAAATTATAGAAAATTCAAATGAGCCTTAACCAAAACTCTTTTACTAGTCCTAATATAAAAAATAAATAAATGAATAATATATAATACAACAACAACAAAAACTTTATCCCACTAAGTGGGGTCTCCACTGTACCCTATTTAGGGTCTATTTGGGGCAGCTGCAGCTTATTGAATAATTTGCTGATAAGCTGATTAAAAATAATCTGCTGATAAGCTAGATGCGGTAGCTATTACAAATTTTTATTTTTCTGGAAAAGCAAGATCGCAGTCAGAAAGCTGTCACCGCACCTAGACAGTTGCGGTGTGAAAACGTTGTCTTCACGTTGTTTTCAGCATTTTGAAAGTTGTCTTCAGCATTTTGAAAACGCATAAGCTGCCAAAACGCAGTTTACACAAACAGGCCATGTGAGTTTTCAAAACGTCATCGCACCAAATAAGCTTGCCCTAAACGGACCCTTAGTGTCATATTTTCATTTAATTCTAATAAATTAAGATGGTTTTTTTATAAAATATGTCAAAGTCTTCTTAGGCTGCATTTCTTAACATAAGTCGAATCTAAAACATCTACTCTTTTAATTGGATCATCAGATAGTCGACAGTCGACATTTAATGTGACTTAATGTGACCAAATCATCTAAGACGAATCTCTCTAATTTTGTCCGTCAGTGGAGCTACACCAACCCTATCACGGATATATTCATTTCGCATTTTGACTCTCAGTGTAAAGCCACTCATCCACCTAATTATTCTCATCTCGGTAACACTTAATTTAGTTTTATGCTTCTCTTTAGACCAACACTCAGTGCCATAGAGCATGGCAGGGCTCACCACCATCTTATAAAATTTCCTTTCAGCCAAAGCGATGTTTTTCTATCACATAATAGGCCTGAAACATTACTCCACTTCAACCAACCCATTTGAATTCTACTAATAACATCCCACTCAATATCACCATCACTTTGAACAATAGACCCACGATATCTAAAGCGCTCATACCTTTTAATAATTTGATCACCCATAGTTACATTTCTGTCACTAGAGCTACTATTAATAAAATTACGTTCCATGTATTCAGCTTTAGTTCTACTTAAACGAAGACCTTTAGACTACAAGGTCGGCCTCCATAATTTATATTTTTCCTGAGATTTTTCTCTCATTTTATCTACAAAAAGGATATCATTAGCAAAAAGCATACACCAATGTACATCCTCCTGCAAGTGTCCAGTATCATCCATAATTAAAGCAAAAAAAATATGGTCTTAAAGTCGTTCCCTGATGTAAACCAACAGAAATAGGAAAATATTTGGTCAATCCTCCCTCTGTTCGAACACAATTAATAGCTCTTATAAACATATCTTAATGAATAATATATAACATTAAAATTAAATTCAAATTGTGATAAAATTGTACATTCAATAGACATAATGCACCATACGCTTTTAACCGCGTCAGTTTATCCCCTTTCGTGCTTTGCAATGCAAATTACACACTACCATATCACACTAATCGCCATGGCTAGTGCTATTCGGTGCTATTGAAATATATGCCTACAAATTATGTTTATTGTATTTTTCATTTCACATCATATTCAACCCTAGACGTTAAACCAACTTGCATCAATAATAAACCCTTCATATTGAAAATATGACCTAATTTTTATGTTAGGAGAAAAATCTAGTAAACATGGTTTCCTAATTTTCTAATAAGAGGATAAGCACAAGCAATTCTCAAAAAGAGTTTCTTGTATAATTAAGGTAAAAAAGAGTCAAGTCGTGTGCAAATCAAGATATAATAACCTTTTTTATTTCAATATTAGTTTAACGGGAATTAGCTTAAACTTTAATATTTTTATATAATGTAGAAGGCAACTTGTTTTTCAGCCATAACAAGTAAATTATTAAAAAATAATCCAAAAAACACTAGCACCAGACTATGCATATAGTAGAGGGTTTAATAAGCATCTAAACTCCATGAATCAGGATTTACTTCTTGTTTTATTGACCAAATTGTTTATTAAAAAAAAAAACTAACTAATGGTAACCATAAATCCCATTTCCTCATAAAGTTGTCCAGATACCAAAAGGCCACCTCAATCTAATCGTAGGTTACTACTTCGAAATTTTCATAAGCTCCTCATAATGGCTGATGAATTTAAATTCATAAACAGAAACAAGTACAAGTTAGCTCAAGCATATGAACTGCTTTCTTGAGAATCTACAGATGAAGCGTTGTAGTTTTCAAGCAAGAAATAAAGTGGGCCACTTCCAAAAACCTATGAACTGCCATGAATATAGAAACTTCTTGTTAGTTCTAATAGAAAATCTATGCATATATAGCCAGCCTAGGGAATAAGTTAAAAAAATCTACAAACCAGCTTGATGAGGTTCACATGGATAGTCAACTTTGCGTTTAGCTAAACTCAAACATTTTTTTTTCAAATATTAAAGCAAATGAACAGGAGACATGTCCGAGCGTGAATGTTTCATCAGATGGCACCACTAGATGTCAAACAGTAGGTTGAAATTATTCTCAAAAAATTTTTAGGTAGTTCATGCAACAATAAGTTCAAGACTAAATCCCTACAAGATTTAAAGCAGACATAAAAAGCTGCACAAAATAGAAATAGGGAAAGTAATACTACGTATTACGAGTACTAAAGTAATGATACTTGCACCACATGCTCTAATTAAACATTTTTCACAACTAAAAATATAATAAGAAAATACCTGGCAACTGAAAAGAAAACAGCACCTCTACCACAATCACATGCCCTTCGGTAGTTGTCAAGGGCCAAAGTAGTCTCTACTACATCCTGGGTTTCAATAAATACAAGCTTATGCTGCATGATATCCTGCAGAGCATTCTCACTATCACTAAGCAAAAACACGTAGTCAAAACAATAAGCAAAGATCTATCAACCTTTCGAAAAGATGGTTTGTAATAAATTAATGAGCAGTCATGCTATGCCTTGCATACACTAAAAAAATGAGAGTAGATTATGTCAAAACAACTACCGTGCAACTTCAAGGAGCTTAAAGGGTCATATTGCTTTTCTTGTCATTCCAAACAACCCCATAGCTATAAAAATGCAGCAACAGAGGTACAATACTCAATATAACACCATATATGAACAAAATTATCCATGAAACTATCTCTCCTCTATACATTCATGAATCACAACTTGACACTGAATTCTTGTAAGAGCCCTACAATTTCACGCATGCATTCAGTTTTGTCACCACCATCCCTCCTTGAACCCACCCCCAACGCTCATAGTTGTTGTGGCCATCCCTACTTACACCTCGTGGCACCACCATCCCTCCTTTTAGCCCTAACCGTAACCGGTCTTTCTTGGAACCACTGTTGGTTCTCTTTCCAGATGCTTTCAATCTTCCTCTCAACTGCCATCATTGCTCCTTGTAGCTGTCTAACCGAACCCGAGGATTGGAATAAAAGGAAGAAACACACAATCGAATAGTAAAATCAATTTTTTTATTATTTTATTTCTATCACTAACAACTTAATATTAAAATATTAAATGAAAGAGTCACTAAAGAATGTAATTTAATTAACAAATAAAAGTTTACCTTTCTGGTTGTTGATTCTATAAAAATTATCTCCTCTAGTATTCCATCTTACTCAAACACTTAAACTTTAAAAAACAATACTAAAACAACATAATGAGTTATTTAAGATAAACTCAGTGGAATATTCACACTAAACTACAATAACATAAGAAAAAGAGAACAACATGTATGCCGATCTTCTATATTTCATTAAAGAAATTCATATAATAATCTAATGCATGCATTTTTTATTTACTTATTGATAATCTAAAATATTATATATAATGTTGTGGGTTGAGTGCCTATTTTTAGGCCCACTCATACAACCTATCTGTATTTTTTCTCTTTAATATAATTAGTCCTTGAGCTTTTTTTAATATATATAGCTTTATATTCTTAACTTTCACATCTGTCTTAGGAGCATTGTCAAACTATTTAACACACCCTTGGAATAATTACACTTCTAAACTACAGTAACTTAAGAAAAAGATAATATATATGCTGATCTTTTTATATTTCATTATAGAAATTTATATAATAATCCAAGGCATGTATTTTTGGCATTTACTTCATGTCAATCTAATTATATATATATAT